ACGGCGAGTGGAACAAAAATAACAAGTCCGCAATAAACATGGATATATAAATTATGCAAAAATAGAAAAGAGTGAACTTTGAGGTCATGCTGTGCGACTTTGAAAGCCGTTAGAGAGACGAGTGGACGCATTTGAATTAGTAGTATACTAAGGTATCCAGTGATGTAATTTTACCCACAAACGGACTTGAAGTTTTTGAGCTAATTTTTTTAAACCACTTTTGTCCAAAAAAGCATATTTTTGACCCAAAATCAAAAACGCATTCTGGATATTTAAAATAAAGACAAGTTTTACAAAGTTTGTATAATAAGCTTTCAGAAAATATATAACATGTTGGATATATAATACCATCTTCATTGTCTAATTACTCAATTAAAAAGCAAGCCAAATAAACTGCATCTCTACCTTAAATTGAGTTATAGGGGCCCAGTAATTTGCTAGATTGTTGTAATAGGTTTACACTTTCGTCAATTAAAGTATCCTTGAATGAATGATTTGTATTATACAGTTGTATATGTACCTGTATGAACGATGTAGTGTCGAATAACAAGATAATATGTGTCATTTAGCATGTGTACAACATAGTCAAAACGCTCTAAGGCTAATTGATCGTCGCATTAACCATCGTCTAACCCCCCTCTCTATACCAGACACCATGTAGTTAGATATGCGACTAGAATCTGAAAACTTCACTCGAGGTAACATTATTTCAATATTAGAACTGCCTATACAGGGATTCAGACATTTTACTTCGTCAGTTCCGTGGACAGTTCAACTTCCTGTTTTCAAAGATACGTCGCATCATTTCTACTTATGAAAAACAGCATTCATGATTTAGACGATGCATACGACGTCACAGATAGTAACAATGGCAACCAAACATGCTATATTGAATAGGTCAAGGTGCGACCTCCGAGTCGGTTATCAATTTCTTTTCATTTTTATACTAAAATTATGGCCAATAATCCATATACACATGCAAACATAACAGGAATACAGATTTGTCAGCAATTGAAGCAACAGCGTTTCTTTCAAACATACTTACGTGCACAATAAGGTTGCTGCTCCCAATCCCACAATGCATTTCCACGACTGTCCCTGCAAATTACTTGATCTTTGCCATTCAGTGTATACCCGTGAGCACATTGTAGAGAGCATTTAGAGCCCAGACCGAATCCATCCGGGCAGGTGATGCGTTGTCTTGGAAACGGAGTAATTGGGTGACAAGTAGGTTCTGACGGGAGAGAACATAATGAGACTTGACACAATTACAAGATTCGCGGTGTCCGTACACTGCTTAAGCTTTTAGTAACAACATTACAAATTATCGGTGACAACAAGATAATGCGACATGTAACGAAAAACGTTTCCTGTTGTTTACTTCAGATATGCTTTCCACGTGCTGATTCATTATATTTCTGACGTTCTTGCAGCTAAGTGTAACAATATACTAATCTAGTAAATGTTTAATTAGTACTAAACCCCGCGTGGAAATGGACAAGGTTACAAATAGCTTTGGGTAATGACTTGCTATTTAAATAATTGATGGAAGTATATGTTCGAGTTGAACGTCCGTCATCGCGTTTTTAATGACCAAGCTGGTAATAAAATGGCAAATATATATTAAAAATGAAGATTTCTACCTGTGATTAAAACATGGAATTCACAGGCTGCAACATTTCCCGCAGTGTCGTTCGCTATGTATTGTATACCATAATAGCCAATATTGAAAACTGAACCCGACATAGGACCGCCCACTCTCACTGGTTGAACTTTGTCACGTGAATTGTCAGATGCAGTTGGCAAATTCCACACGACAGTGGTACCATTACGAGCAGCATCCACAACTACTTTGATGTCTTTCGGGCAATAATCGAAGTGTGGTGGCTCAACATCTGTGTTGGGTAACAGAACAAAATAAAATTATATGACACGTGCACAAATCCATGAGCTGGCACTGTGACATTTTTGTGACTTGTTTGTGGTGACATATCTGTGACTCTATAATTCGTTAGTGTAAACAGGAAAAACATCGAAAGTTCTAATCCGTTAACTTATTTTTTGATTTTTATTATATATCTGTGTATTTCCATAGTGAAGGTAGTTGAATTGTACCTTGTTTAATGTTCGCTTGTTGGATGTGTACAGTACATACCCGCATACTGTAGTTGGTGCCATAATATAAGAGCTGTTCAAAACATATTCATTTCCCGTTCGCGGTAAATTGTTATAAGTAACGGATATTGATGAAGACATGTCGTCAGATATTACACAGCAGTCTCACAGCAAACCGGAAAGTTGCTGTTAAGTATTACCGTTCTGTCATATCAAGGCGTTTTCAGACAAATAAATCAACGTGGTGCAATAATCGAACGATAACAGCATTTAACTTTAGACGTTCACAGACCAACAAATGATGACAATCTCAGCAAAGTTCTTGAAGAATTTCAAAACATGTATTCGGAAAATTGCGACAATTTCCCCGCTACTGGTATACTTGCCTTCATAGTGTATGTAAAGATTTTACACAAAACATTCCATTAAAAGTAAAAAAAAAAAAAAAAAATCACTCACTCACCCACACAACGTGGAATGCGGCCATTCCACCTACCATCGTTGTTACACATCACCAGTGTATTGTAGCCCATTGGTACGCTGTATCCATGGTAACACCGTAGACGGCACTGACTAAGATAACGGTTACCAGACGTACACTCGTATACACCCCATTTTGGGTTGATGAGAGCATCACAGTGAATGGCTAAAACACGGAAATAACTTCGATTACAATGTAATTATATTTCAGAAAATAACACGACAAAATGTGTTTGTATCATATATAGATATTTTCTTTTCATCATATTTCAACATTTTTATTTTTTAAAACTGTATTTTGATGATTCCTTTGAACCATTGATGTATCATTCTGAGTGTTTAATCAAAGTGCTTGATTACAGACTGTAGCATATTGAATATATCATATCTTGCCAAAATGTATAATACTATACGTCAGACAACGTAACATATTTCTAGTGTTGCTTTGGTCTGCAGTTTCTACACATTCGTTGATTTATATTTTCATATACTGGATAAATGTTTTTTTTCAGATTGAAATATGCCTGCCAAGTAACTCAAAGAAAATGCAATTTATCACAAAACCCAGTGGTGAGTATGCCGTCACATTGAAAACAAGTCACCTAACCCTACCACTGATTATCATTAGTGAAAATGCTGACGCATCATTTAGAAAATTCTCAGACGATACAGGTAAAAGAATTTGCGTCGCGTCAGTTGCATGAAATATAGTGCATCTGAATAAAAACATAATCGTCTTGCAACTGTCATTATTCTAACATACGCAATTCTTTTAATAAACCACCTCTAGCACTTTAGCATCAGAACAAAATGTGAGCAGCTTTAGTGCGTAATACGTTACTCTCTCACTCACGTGTACATGTTGGTTCTGCTTTACTCCATGCACCTATTTCACCGTGACGTTCACAGTGCCGTATGACGTCACCATGAGCTATGTATCCTTGGTTACACTCGTACTCCATGGATGACCCAAGAAGAGGGTATCCTTTACTTCGTCTAATGACGGCGTTGGTCACGGCAAGTGCATTCTCGCATTCAACCACTGAGGAAAGGAAACATAAGACAACACAAATTCATGGTAACATGTACTTCCAATTAAATACTCATTACAATAATCATGAAATATCCATGTTGTGGTGGGCCATGTGCATTGTATAGAGTATTTATATAAATACATTCCTTACACTAAATTCGCTGATCAACGACTTACAGTTAGTAACAGAATTCAATAATGGAATAGTATTAATATGATACGTTTTCTCTATTGTTGTGTGCTTGTAACATAACATAACGCAGAATCAATTACACTAAATGATGTTGTTTATCAGCTAGATATGCCTATAGAACCATATCGGACAAAGACAGGTGCACTTAAGTATTCGTGATACTATTTCCCTGTGCCTTATAGCCATACAATCCAATAACAATTTGCAAGTATATATTGATCGCTGTGATGTTGTCATAAATAGCCGAGCTATTTAGTGTGTACATATCTGTTGGTGCATGGTAGTACCAGATGCATTCGTTTGTAGGAGTACAGAGCGTTTGTGGTTTCCGATGTTCTAGATAAACTACGACACACCAATGTATATCTACGTAAATTTAGACATGTTATTCAGATTCTCTGTCTTATGCTTTATTTTTTATAATAAAAAAAGTATCGCAGGTCAGTAGTAGTCGTCATTCGCCAAGTCCACACAATTAGACGAGTTTCAGTGAACATTTATGTTAATATAAGACGTATCACATTTATCAGAAAATGAAAATGTTGAAAGTGTTTAGTCATATTTATACACTATTTGAAACAAAGTGTGCAATTAGTAATTTTGGGTCAAATACCTATACATCGCCTATTCAATGATTTCGATAGTTATGTGACAAGTGCGTTTTGAAATACGGTCTTAAATAAACATTTTTCAGTGAAACAAATTAATAATATGAGAATATTTAATAGACCAGAGGAATGAACAAATTAAAATATTACGCAATTTGGCAGTGCAAATAAATTGGAATATTAAACAAAATATTAGATGTGCGGGACTTTCCGACTTATTCACTCTACACAGACAACACTGACAACACTTAGTTTATGTTTCTATTTCACTTAATGTGAATGATATTAATGGTGTGGATGACAAGGTGTCATTCGAGTTCACTCATAATATCTGTAATGTATACCCTTTTAGTATATGTTTTTATCATTGATACGATCAGCACATCGACCTAATGGTTGTCAAGACTTCAAGAGTCTCACGTTAACGGTAATGACAAATGATCGTGAGAAAACAGAAAATCTATTTCCATTAAGTTGACAATTGACATGATAAGATATCTCAATATTGATAGTAATCCTTTTTGTTTATCAAATGTCTCAAAGCATAGCTCGTTGGTGTGTGTATTTTAGTATGGGGAATCTGGCAAATTTGTGTTATTTACATCATATATTGAAGACTTGAAACTTTATATTCATAACCTGTAGGTAAAGTAAAAACAGCTTTCAAACGAAAATTGGCGTAATATCACGCGGGTACAGTGATTGATTATTGGATTATATCTATAATCAATATGTATTGGTTTCAGCAGAAATACGTGTTGTATGCCTTTTGAATTTGTATTATATACCTTGTAAATACTGATGTCAGTTTAAAAGTACAACTGGCACATATGCATGTTTTCGTTTGAACGAACATTCTATTTCTTTAATACAGCCGTTTAAATTTTATGTTAATACAACCAATACTCACCGACCACATTTACTGAAAAACTGCATGTCACGGCACTTCCACTCTCGTCTATGGCTGTATAAAACACTGTGTTTTTGCCAACAACCTTTGACCCCGGCAGCGGTCCGCCATGTTTTCTAAACGAAAGGTAAATAAATAAATAAATAAATAAATAAATAAATAAATAAATAAATAAATAAATAAATAAATAAATAAATAAATAAATAAATAAAAGCATGTTACATCAAACAACGTCTTTTTGCTTAGGTTATTAGTTACTTCAGCTTTCGTAATGTACTGAATAGTACCATATGCCTTCCAATATCGCATTTTTCTCATTACTTAGCACCCCTATAGAAATAATGGTATACTCTGTACTAAATATAAGCAGTTAATTTGACCTTGCAAAACATATAAATTGTTATATAGGTTATTAAACTGTGTCTGTGTGTATTTAC